ATATATATAAAATATATAAAACAATTGCATGACTTCTGAGATCTGGATCATGAGACTGTCTAGAAAGGTAATTGAGATCAACTCCCTTCTCCTCTTCACCTACAGTTTTCTTTTCTTCTATAAACAAGTATATCTTTTATTTTTTTTAAGGGTGTGACAAATTACACAGTAGCTCTGCAGTTCCACTCAGAAGTGATGTCTATCAATTCTATTCACATTTCATCAGACAAAAGCAAGTCGCAAAGTCCAGAAGGAGAACATTCGGTGAACAGCTCAATATTACTCCTCTTAATCACCCTGTTATCAGCAGACCTCACTCTGCTTTAATGCTCTTCATTGCACCACTCTCTACCAGATATTACATTATATTTGTGTGTTTATTATTTGCCTTCTCTCCCTAAAATCTAAGCTCTGCAAGGTCAGGGTATGTCTGGCTTTGTTCACTTCTGTATCTGCAGCACTTAGAAAACTGCCTAGTATCCAATAGGCATTGAAATAACTTGTAGTCAAATGTACCAATAGTAACATGAATAGTTAATATCTAAATGTGTCCTGCACCATGCTAAATGCTGTTCATTCAGTAAGTCATTTGATCTTCGTCTCAATCCTATGGGGGATATAAATCTATTATAACCCCCATTTTCCATACAAGATAACTAAGGCTCAGAGAGGTTAAGACACTTGCCCAAGGTCACATAGCCAGTTAGTAGGCACAGCCATTTTCTTGATCTTTGAGAGGCCCCCACTGAGTCCAGCCACTTATGACCTGGGGGCAGAGTCATGATGTCCAGGCACGGCAGCTGAGTGCCCACCACGTGTGAGGACAGGGCCAGGGAGTTAACAATGGCAAAAATAATAAGAGTATCACCAATTATTGGGAGCCAGATACTGTGCTAAGGGAGACATATCTTATTTCATGCTCACAAAAATCACAGGAACAAGTGATGCTCTTTACCTATGGTCTTCCTTTTTCACTTAAATGAGTATTCCTTTCTCTCTAGTCCTGGGACAAAAATTGTCTTCCATTTGAAGAGACCCTGAATGTCTGCCTGACACAAAACAGACCTAGCTCTAGAAACAGTGGTGGGTGAGTGAATGAATGCACTTCTCAAGGGGTTCTCTACTGGCCACCCTGCCCATCTTAGAACTGTGCTGGGCTGTGCTATGGGTTAGGGAGCTTGAAAACATTTGAATCTAGAACTGGCTTGTGAAGAGTGACGGGATTATTCTAGTTCCAAATTCCTTGTTTTTAATAACAAAATAATCATGCATGTGATTTAAAACATCTTCCTTATACACACACAAAACAAAGTATCATGACTACTTTCTAAGCAAGAATTAATTCCAATTTAGATACTGCAGGTTTTTTTTTTTCCATTTCCAAAAATGATTGAAATTTATTTCAATTGCAAGCTTATTTCAAAAGAATATTGCTAACTGAAAAGAAGAGAAAAGGGCTGGTCACTTCCCACTTGGCTCTTCAACTCTTGAAGGTGAATGACAGCTTGCCTTCTGTCAGCAGGCCAATGGCTGAGGACAAAGCAATACTCTGACATTTAGAACACCTGACTCACTTTTCCTCCTTTATTGTAACAACAAAATGAGGCCCAAGAATTATGAATTCCCACTAAAAACCAAGAAGCTAGTAAACTGAGTTATGTTAAAGTATAATGTGTAATTCTCCTTTGGGGGGCCCTCAGCAAACCAAAAGGATATTAAAACCACATACATAACAAAAGAAGCTCAAAGTTAGACTTGAACAGAGGGAACCAAGTACAAATTTCCTATTCATAACACTCTTAAGCCTAAGTAGCCCTACTGAGAACCTTGAGTGTCAAACAAAGTAGTAGGCTGAAGACAAAGGAACAAAACTCTCCTTTGCTGATGATTAATGAACATACATGCTTCCTTAGCTGTCCTGGCTGTGGTTCTCATATGAATCCATCCACACTCTGCGAAAAATGACATCATTTGAGACTAATCCAACACTACCACCTTGCTGATACAATGTTGGAAAACTAAAGAGAAAGAACACTCTTCCCCTTGCCCCATAATTTTGAATTATGAGAGGAAAATAAATTACAAGTTTCTATCTTGTCCAAAAAAAAAAAAAAAAAAAAAGAGCACCAAAAGGAAAAATACAGAAATAAAGTTCAAAGCCATCTCTAACCCATAACTACTGCAGGGTACTGACAGAGCTCACTCACTATTCATTTCCTATCCTCTGTATGAAAATCTTCCTTCACTTTGTTGCTCTACCAATCTGTTTTTCCCCCAGCCAAAGGTATTCTTAAACTTTAGATGCAGCCAACATTCACCAGTTGTTTCTGTTGGAGGGGCAGGGGCGCGGAATCTACCAGAGTGGTTACTGATGGCTACTGATAGAAAAGTATAGACTACCTAAAGTAATATTTTTTGCCAAGTTTGCTAATTAATAAACATTACCCCAAGTGACTTTTTAAAATGAACAATCTGTGATCTAGTCAACTGAGTCTGTTTAGACTTCCTTAACCTTGTGCAGGTCAGTGACTCCCCTTCAAGTCTTCAGTCAAATATCACCTTCTCAATGAAATGATGATGCTAAATTAATAACTGGAGGCCCACCTCACTTTCTAACCCTTACCATCTCTATTTTTTCCAACGGTATATTTATCAGATTATGCATATATATTATGTATGCATATGTAACTTGTATATGTACACGTAAATTATATCTCCATTTAAATATATATGTATATCATCTCCTCTGTTAGAATTAAGCTCCAAGAAGGAAAATATTTTGAATGATAGATCTCAAGTATTTAGGAAAGTACGAGGCACTGAATAGGCGCTAGTGCTTAATTAATGAATTAACAAATCCATTAGAGTTTAAAATTAAATTGTAAAATAATCTCTGCATCTTCCACAGCTCAGCTTCTCAAACTTTCAAGTCTCCTGCACACCACTCACCCGAGTCACGACAAGCTGAGTACAGGACAAAACAGCATCCTGTCCGCGAGCGCCCACGCGGTAGCTTTGCACATGGGCTTGCATCAGCTTGCTGCCACGGAACTCACGGCCCTCTCCGCATCCCATTCCAATTTTGCGCCAAAACCCTTGCGCCCGGGATTCTGAGTAATTCAGATCCTTTTACCTAGAGAAACCCAGGCTACCGCGGACCAGAAGGGCGCGGCCTGACAGACCTTCGTCCCCACGCCCCAGCAGCCTGGTGACCTCAGGTCTCCTAGCCTTCTCCCAGGGAAGATCAGAGCCAAAGCCCTTCCCCGCCCCACCGCCGCAGCCCTGCGAGGCGAGCCCCTCTCCTCCGCCAGCCCGGCCCTACCTCTCCTCGAGTAAGCGAGGGCGGCCACCCGCCCATGGCACAGGTGGAGGGCGCCTGTGGCACGAGCGACGCCCGGGGCGAGGCCCGGCTGGCACCTCCGCGCGCCGCCGCTGGGGACCGAGGCCTCCCGGCGCGAGCGCTCCCAGTCTCCGAGAGGCCGACGCGGGGCT